AATTGTTTCATAAGATAGGAAAACTCAGCTTGCAAGTCCAGAGCCAAAGGTATTTGAGCCAAGACACCTCCTCCTGAGCTCTCAGCCCTGAGCTGAGCTGAAATTCCACATCAGGAACTCAGTTCCTTCACCACAATCCCAAGGAACACCACACACACACACAAAAGCAACCTACATTCTCCACAGCGAGTGTCAAAAGTGCCAGTGGATGATCAGAAAGGAAGGGCTTACAGGCACTTCAATGAAGCGATCGGTACTGTCCCTCGGGCTTGAAAAAAATCCCAGGTACCCAGTCCTGAGGTATCCAAGACCCTCCTATAAGATGCCCTGCCTGTGTGGAACCTGGACCCAGGCACCCACCCACCTGCCATCTCCCCACTGTAAGAAATAGATTGTGACGTCTCTTTTCAATATGAGATCTGCTTAGAGTCGTCACGGTGACTGATAAACAGGGGTGCTGGCTGGGCCCCTCGCACCCCTTATCTGGGAACCCTGAAAGCTGGAGAGTTACAGGCAGTGGGCTGTGTGACTGAGCCCAGAAAAAAAGGGGGGTGGGCAGCCTCAAACCCAAGATTATTTATTAAATAAAGTTTTGCATCCTAAACCAACAGGATACGGAACTTGGGTGGCAGCCAAGTCCCAGTATAAGGGAAGAGAGGACAGAAATTCCTTGAGATTGGTCAATGGCAGGAATTCTTTAAATCTTTAAACATCACCATCCTGTGCCAAATCAGCACGCCGGCCCTTGAATATTTTCTTTATGTCAACGTCACTTTCTGCAGAACGGCTTAGTGAAGGCTGTTTCACTGTCAGCATCTCTTGACTTTATCTTTTACAGTGAGGATCCTTCTGTCCGTACTCTTCACATTCTTCCATTATCCCATCCTCTCATCATTCTCCCCTCATCCTCCCATCATCCCATTCTCCTCCCATCCTTCCATCCTCCTCCCATCATCCCATTCTCCTCCCATCCTCTTCCCATCATTCCATTCTCCCATCATCTGCCCATCCTCCTCCTATCATCCCATTCTCCTATCATCCTCCCATCTTCCTCCCAACCTCCTCCAATCATTCCATGCTCCTCTCATCCTCTCATCCTTCCATCCTCCCATCTTTTCATCCACCCATCAGTTTCTCATCCTCCCGTCATCATCCAATCTTTCCATCCCCTTATCATTCCTGATGTGAAACTCTGTGAAAAATGGCAGTTTTGCATTAGTGTTCAGGGAATAAGGACCAGGAAAAGTAGCCACGGATATGATTGGCTTGGGAATGATCTCAGTCTTCAGCTTCTGAAGCCCACAGGTGTAAAAGCTGCCGTTGTGGCCAGAAACTGTTTTTAAACACAGAAACGATGCCGTGAGCTGAGCTCTCCTGAGAAGGGAAGTTGGGACCTTTCTCAGGAGGCAGGAGAAAGGAAGAGAAGAATATGGAGGGAGCAGAGGTGAACAGTGAAATCAAAGGGAACAAAAAGATTGAAGCTGTCTTGCTGGCCTGCATTATCTCTGCCCTGGTCAGAGGCATGGTATGATGATGTAATGTGTGGTGCTTCTGGACAGCTGAGAAGGGTATAAAAGGAAAGGTGAGAGCACCAGTTAGAGAAGCATCTGGGAGAGGGGATAAGGGTATAGGCTGCAGTAGTACCATGGAGACGGATAATAAGAGGGAGGGTAGCAAGGACAGATAGTCAATCCCCAGCCAGACTGTGGGGTCCTGAGCCGCTGGAGTACAGCAGAGTCATCAGCACTCTTAGGAAGCGGGGCAAGGAACCAGAGGTGTAAGTGAATGCGTGCGCGTGCACGCATGTGTGTGCTATGCTGAATACACGCATGTGTGTTATACGAACACGTCACCCGTAAGTGCCATGCAGAGCCCATGCATGAGAATGTGGTGTGTGTGCTGAGTTCGTGTGTACACACTTGACCGTACGTGTATAAATTTGTTCCACGTATTGAGTGTGTGTTTGTGGGCCCTGTGTGTGCTGGGTGTGGTTCACACTGGGCTTTGTAGATCGGTGGCAAGCACTCTTCCAAATGAGCCTTGGCCTCCGCCCCGACAGACGCACAGCTGTATGGGCTGTGCCCCTAGTTTGACTGTATGTGGAGGGCGGAGATGATGGCTGGGGTTAGCTCGGTGGCCGCAGGGGAAAGATTACATTAACGGCATGGTTACCTCAGGAGTGAACCACAAATGAAGCCGGCAGTGGGGGCTGACGATGAGGCTGTAGCCTGAGCCTGAGCAGTATTGCTCGTGGGAGTGGGACAGGGGAGAGGGTAAATCTACCTTTTAAAAAAATGTTGGGAGCTTTGCCAGCCTAGGAGTGGATCAGAGGTCTAGGGTCAGGAGTCCAGGGCTGCCCAAGTGAGGCTGTGGCTCCAGGGCTGAGGAGGCACGGTGCAGCACATGGGTGACACACTGAACTGGACTTTCCTGAGTCATCCTCTGGGAAGCAAGGATTACAGCTGTTTCGAGAATCTGAGTGCTGGCTTAACAAGAAGATAACCAAGTTTTCCTGTGGGATGGATGTGACCTTCTATAGGCTTTGGCCTCAGGGCTGTGATCTGTCCTCAGCTCCCAGGAGAACAGAGGCTGTGGGGTGGGGCAGGTAGCGACCCCCTATCAGACCCCAGGCTGGCAGAGTGGCTGCCAAGGCCACCTTGCCAAAGTGCAAACAATGGCTCTTTTCCTCCTCAGTGTTTTCCTCCGCGAAGCTTCTTTATCCAGGGTGAAAACTGAGGAAATCTGTGACACTGACCAATCCAGGTTCCCCCCCCCCGGGCTGGCCTGCCTGCTGCCCTTCCCCACTGAAAATCCAATTAGCAACGCTCAGCTGGCTGTTCATCCTGCATCAGAAAGCTCCAAGGGATCCTTGACTCTCCTCTCCCACAGGGAAGCCGTACAAGGCCAGCTTCCTGAATCAAGCAGGACCCTGTCCTTGCTCCCCTGTGGCAGAAGGTGATTCTGAGCTAGAGTCGATGGCACGCAGAGGTTGACCCGTCAGGAGAGGGTCAGTCCAGGGAGAATGGGGACACAGGGTCGTCACAGGTGTGGATCCCACCCTAAGGCCACATGCAGAACGGTCAGTCGCCACCAGACAGAGGCTGCCCAGCTAGGAACGCCTGCAGATGCTACAGGTCTATTTTGCTTTAAGGCACAAAGCATTGCAAACAAACATTGCATGAACTGGATCGGTAGCTTCGCCCACTAAGGTTGATAACAATGAATCCCAAACCGGTTTGTGTTTATAGACAGGGTCTTGTGTGGCCCAAGCTAGCCTCAAATTCATTATGTAGCAAAGGGTGTCCTTGAATTTCTGATCTTCCTCCTCCTAAGCACTGGGTTCACACTGAGACTGCAGGTGTACACTACCACGCCCAGTTTGTGCTGCACTGGGTGCTGAACCCAGACAGCATCAGAGGCCAGGCTAAGGCAGTTCTCCAGCCAATTAATTTTCAGTAAAGAGATTATCGAAGACAACCCAAAATGGGGGGGGGGGGGGGGGAGGGGAAAACAGTGTCTCGAATACAACAGGAACAAAGGGCAGGTGAGACAGCTCAGGTGGTAGAATATGACTGCAGCCAAGCCTGACAGCCTGAGTTCAATCCCCAGAACCGACCGGAAGCAGGAAAGAACCAACTCCTGGAAGCTGCCCTTTGACCCTCTCAGGTGAGTCTCAGCACACACACACACGTGCCCCCACACACGAATAAATAAATAAACATATAAATCAATACAAACAGAGCATCCCCACTAATGTAGGCTTGCATACTGTAGATAAAAAGTTTACCCAAATAAGCCAAAAACTAAATGTGAGACAAAAAAAAAATCTGAAACTTTTAGAAGGAAGTTATCATGAATGCATCTGGGATGCGACTCCAAGCTATGACTAAAGAGAAAACATTCAAACTAGACTGTGTTAATATTAAAACCTTTCGGTTTCAAATGCCACCAATAAAACGGAAAGGAAGCTATTGGCTGCAAGAGAACATTTTTAAACAGGTCTGCAACAATGGCAAAGGTAATGCGGGTTCTAAAGGGCAAGATATTTAAATAGACTTTTCTCCAAAGGCCATCTAGAAATGACTAATTTACACAAACACCCTCCATATCATTAACTGTGATGGAGAGAGAAATAAAACTCACGATGAGGTGCCACCTCAGGCCCATGAGATGGCTGCAGCGGTGCAAACAGCCAGGGAGCAGCCAGAGGCAGGCGTGTGCAACAGTGCGGCCGCTTTAGCGGGAGCCTGGCGTGTTCTCCAAAGGTTTAATGTGAGTTTACCACACAGCCCAGGAACTCTACTCTAAGGAAAATGAATGGCGCGCGCGCGCGCGCACACACACACACACACACACACACACACACACACACACACACACACAC